GGGGGAAGACAGGTTCCCGCCCTTCCGCCCTGTTTGCGATATTTGCCTTGTTGCCTTTGCATTCTTTTCTCGTTTCTACCTCTGTGGCCTCTTTGTCCTTTTTCTATCTATTTTATGTTTCTTGTCACTGCAGCCGGTCAGAGTATTAGGGTCCTTGAGGTGCAACATATTCTATTGAGGTTTAAGTGACATTGGGGAACCGTCTTTGGTATGGCATCCCTGTCTTAACGGGTCCATCATTAGTTACTCAGTATCTGAAGTTAGTTTACAAGTCCCCGAGGCGGTGTTGTGCGGCTGGGGGCCATGTGGGCAGATACTGGGTATTTTGGTGGTGAAAAATGTTGTGTCAAGGACCTTAACTCCCACGGTCAGCTAATTGGTTAAAAAATTTTTAATTTTGGCTTTGGTACTAAAATAATAAAATGGCTGCTGTGGCCACTAAAAATCCAAGACCAGTGTCATATCATCCTTTAACAAAGGGGTTAATATCTGAGTTGAGTGTTCTGGGTATTGGACCACTAGGAGCCATATACAATGCCCTTGTCATGGCGTTGAAAATAAACCCTTACTTCTGGAGCTCTGCGTACTGTGGAGGAACTTATCCTCAAAGTTCACAACAACACATCTGAAGTTGTTCAAGCGTGCACATCTAAAGGCTTCTATATCCAGCTATAGATATATCGCTAAGAAAAGGTGTAACTTGGCAAGCCTGACAAATGTCAGCATATTGATGAGCTATGCTGAGGAATAGTTGGGTCATTTCTATAATTCTTTTGGTGATGAAGTGGAGCTAAGCCAACACAATGTCTGTTCCCATGTAGAGCACCTGACCAAAATGTGCCCTCTTGTAGATGTGCATACTAGATGATCAATTTTGAGAAAGCTGGTGGGATGACCAGTGAAATGTCTTCAAGAAAAATACACCAAGTCCAGTTGCCTTACAGATAGATGATCAATCAACCTTTTAAGCATCTCATGGTTTCAAGGTTAACCGTTAACTTTCAGAATGCAGTAAGCAAATATGGATATATAAATACAGAGATAATCAGTCAAATTCATCAAACACAAATATTGCTAAATTATGCTTTATCTCTGGCTCCGGTAAAGTGAGAGATGCACCATGACCAGACTTGGCTGCAGGCCTCAAGGCTGACCGGCTGCTGGCCCTGCATGTCTGTATATGTGTGTTTGTGTATATCTCTGTATAGTCTATGTATTAGACATGTGCGATTCGTTTCGTTACGAATCGAAATTCGGACGAATTTTCGGAAATACGGAGATACGGATGCATCGTATGCAGCTAACACGAATGCAAACGAATCCGAATTCCCGATTTCCCGAAATTCGTTAGCGGTAGTCCGGTCAAAATTTTGTTTATTTGACAAAATTTCGTTAGCAGCAAAGTGACATTAAAATTTTTTTGTGGGTTCCCCCTCAATTCATACCAGACCCTTTAGGTCTGGTAGGAATGTTAGGAGTGACCCTCCCCCAAGTTAAAACAAAAAAAAAAGTGCGTGGAGTTCCCCCCAAAATCCCTACCAGACCCTTTAGCCCCCCAAAATGGGGGAAAAAAACGTGGGGTAAGTAGAGATATGGACGGAGGTAAGCCGGTAGATGTGGTATATCTGGATTTCTCAAAGGCTTTTGATACGGTACCACACAAACGCTTGCTACACAAGCTGAGGGCTATGGGCATAGATGAGGTGGTGTGTACGTGGATAGAGAACTGGCTATGGGAACGTGTCCAGAGGGTATCTGTAAATGGCACCTTTTCAGACTGGGCTAGTGTAATGAGCGGTGTGCCTCAGGGTTCTGTGCTG